ATCAGATATTCACATGACTCATAACAGCAGCAAAATTATAGCTATGAAGTAGCAACGAAAATAATTTTATGGTTGCGGGGGGTCACCACAACATGAGGAACTGTATTAAAGGGTAGCAGCATTAGGAAGTTTGAAAACCAATGTTCTAAAGGAACAAGTAATGATAAAGAATTATCATGCATGTATGGATTGTGCTAAGAATCGTATGAGGCCCCAATAAAATGATTTTTAAAAAAATAGATATCTTAGCTATGAAAAAACAAAACAAAAAAGAATTACTTTTTCAACCCTTCTTAAAATAAGAGCTCCAAAGCTATGATCATCATTCTAAAATTCATTGTGGTAATGGTACACCTCTTCTTGATATCAATTACTGAATTGTATGATATGTGTAATTTAAAAAGTAAAAGACATGAGGAACAAAACGAAAAAAAACAAAGAAGAGAATGATCATCAATGATTGTTAATATCACACAAAGAGACACTACCGACTATTGTTCACATGCCTCATGGTGGACAGTATTTAATACCACACATTGCATATTCTTGCCAAACTTTTGGCCTCACACCTCTTCAAGGAGTTTTTTAACATATTTTTTAAATTGAGGACCAGATATTTAGGTTTAATAAAACCATAAAACTGATACCAGCACAATACAGAAGGTAAAAAACCCTGCAAGGCGAAAAAAACAAAAAACAAAACCCACATAAATTTGGAGTTAAATTTTTTTATTTTAATAGGATTAACCTACAATTAAAAGAAACAGACCCTTCCAAGCTTTAAAGCCTATTGGAACCTAAAATGAAGTGTTTTGTTTTGTTTTTTTAATGATAAATTTAAAAGTTGGAACACTATATTTTTATACCAAGGAATTACTCTTTAATTATAGATGTGATAATTATGTATTATTAAAAGATGGTGGTCCTTATATTTTTTAAGGACAGAAGTATTTAGGGATAGAATAATGTGACTGGGAACTTGTTTCAAAATAAATCCACAGAGGCAGTGAGAGTAAATACAATTTAGAAAAATAAAGAATTCTTAAACAAGAGGGCCCACTGAATGAATGACGCTGCCTTGAAACTGCCTGTACCCTTGGACTGAGGACTGGGGTACTTGGATGGGACAGCAAGCAGAGTGACAGCCCCAGGAAGTAGCAGTCCTTGGACCCTGTAGGGGGAATGCTTAGCTCAGTAAGTGTCCAATGTAAAGAAACCAAGGATCCCCACCTTGCAGTAGCACAAACGTTTCTGATCTGTTGAGCAGGAATCTCTGCATGTGAAAGAGTTGATGCAGGAGGGTCCCAACCCTGGCATCAATCCCCCATACTTAGGGTCAAAAGAGGGCCATCCAATGGCGTAGAGCAAAAAAAACCTTGTGGGTTGCAGCTTAAAGTGGAACTATACTCGCACAGTCCCCAAAAACGAACAGTGTCTGAAGTACTGAGCCATAAGGAAAATTTATGATGAAAATAGTGCAATCAACTTATATATACACCAGTGTTGAACTTCTTTGTTTATATAGGATTTTGCTTTCCTGCTTGTAGTTTGCTACCCACCCTTTTTTTCCCTTTCTTTTGAGTTTGTGTGTGTTCTTTTTGTTTGGCGGTTGGTTGGCTTGTGGATGCTATTGGTGCAATTGGTCTTACAGTGTTCTGAATCATATTACAATTGCCAAAGTAAACCTGGCACATGCAAACACCATGGACAAGCAGTCTGGGGGTTCTACCTACTCTAGACCCAAGTCAAAAACAGCTCTGATAACATGGCCCTGTTCGATACTCACTTTCATGAAATGATCCCCCAAAATAAGGATGCTACAGCAAAGTGTGGTAAAGAAAGCAGAGGGTGCCCGGATATCAATCAGAATAGTGTCTGGGGTCTTAAAGGCTTGTACTCAAACAAGCAGCCATCTATGCAAGGAGTCAACTAAGTCCACATGGAAGAAGCACACCAGCTTGTGTGATCCAAACATGACAATTACAAAATTCGAATGTAGCGAAGGGAAATGTTATCAAAGCTAAAATTATGAACACCTACTTTGTAGACTATAGTGGACAGGGGAGGCCCAAATCCATCTGGAGAGTACCTAGTCAAATTAAGCCACTGGAAAATCCCCTCTAGCCACAGGCAAGAATCTCAAACAGCCTTACTATCAGGCAGAGACCACTGTACTATTGATTATGGTAGATAGAACTTGACACTTGTGCCGCTGACCTCCCTACAGACCCAACCTGAATTTGTCCTAGGTTGCAAGTATCTCTTACTCATGACAAATTTCTTCCCTGGCTTTAAAAAATTCATGGGGGTCTTTTCTTTCTTACACATTACTTGTATTTTATCTTTATCTTTATATTATTATTATTATTATTTTTAACCTTACTACCGTATTTCAATTTTGTTTGTTGTTGTTTGTTGGGTTTCCCCATTTGTGAAGCACAGGAGGAATGGATATATAATGATAACTGATACAAGGGTTTATTGGGGATGTAGGGATTGGTGGCAGGTGATAGGGAGGGAAAGGGGATTTATCACAATCCATACATTCATCCAGTGTGTCAAGCAAATTTGCACATATGCCGCCATCATCATTTTCAAAGCATTCTCTTCTCACTTGAGCCCCCGATATAAGCTACCCTTTCTTCCCCCTCCCTCCTCCACCCACCCTCCCTCACAAACCCTTGATAAGTTATAATTATTTCCATATGTTCCATCACCCTCCGTCGACCCTCACCCTCTTTTCCGTTGTTCGTCCCCCTGGGAGAGGGTTCAAGTTTGATCCTTGTGACTTATTTCCCCTTTCTCCCCCCACCACCCCCTAATTCTACTGGCATCTCTACTCTCCTTGTTGGCCCTTAGGTGTTTATCTATCTTGGATTCCCTGTGTTGCAGGCTCTTATCTGTGTATTCTGGTCTAATCCAATTTGTACGGTAGAATTTAGGTCAGGCTAGTGGGATGAAGGAAGCACCAAAGAACTAGATGGAAGTTGTGTGTTTCATCAGTGCTATACTGCAGCCTGACTGGCTCATCTCTTCCCTGTGACCCCTCTGTGAGGGGATTTCCAATTGTCTACAGATGGGCATTAGGTCTCCACTCCATGCCCCACCACCCCATTCACCTTGGGCATGGTTCTGTTCTGGGTCTTAGATGCCTGATACCTGATCCCATCGACACCTCATGACACATAGGCTGGTGTGCTTCTTCCATGCACAACTCATCTTGAAGGAGATTTAGCCATGGGGAGGGTGTCTAAAATTAATGTGGTAATGATTGTATAATTCTTTTTGATATGACATGTAAATTATGTGCCTATAAAACTGTTGGGGAAAGAAATTTAGTGCTTGAGCTCAAACAATGCATGTTATATTCTACTGCAGTCTATTTACTTTAACGACATTTTTGAGGATACTATAGTAGGAGATGTTGTACATTCAAAACTTGGAATTTTCTCCAGTTGTTTGTTTTTATGGATTGTTTACTATAAATCTGTAATGTCTAATATAATAATCTCATTCAATCTCTAAAGAAATAAAAAAAATTAAAAAACAGTCCCTACAAGGAAAAAACAACAACTGATAATTGATTTAAGTGGTAAGGGTAAATAATGTGTAGCGGGGGCTTTATTCATTATACAATTCTCCCTAGGTCAAAATACCAGGGTTTCATTTTGTATTGTTTTAATTTTGTCTCCAAGAAAATTGATGCCTGAAACCATCATGTTCAATTTACAAATCTCCCAACTATATTTACATTTTCACACAGAGCAAGTGTTTTAAAATGAAGATTGATACCTCAGTGACGTAGAGACATCAAATTTATAAGAATTTTTGAGAAATATTAACGGAAATTTAGAAACCATATCAGATAGGTCAAGGGCATCCAATTCTGCCTACTTTAAGAAGAGACTGGTTTTCAGCAAGGCCTAGTGTTACAATAATAATCTTGTTAGGTGACTTCCATGATTATCTCCTTAATCACCAAAAGTAATATAGAACTCAAATTTTATACTTTTATAGCTGTTTCAAGGAATTTATATCTATATCTATAAATCTACTAAAGTTGAATTTTAAAATCCCACTATTGCCGGAGCCAAATAAATAAATAAACCAAGCTCACTGCCATTGAGTCAATTCTGACTCAGAGTAACCCTGTGGGGTAGGGAGAGCTGCCCCTGTGGGTTTCTAAGACTGTAACCCTTTTCAGGAATAAAAAGACCCATATTTCTCCCGAGAAGCAGCTGGTGGTTTCAAACTGTGACCTTGCAGGGGCAGTGCATTATTTAAGGTGTTTTTCCCAGCCTAACTCCCACCAAAACCCCTTTTCCTGCATGGATCCAGCAAGAAGATGGGGGGAGATAGTGATGGGCAGCGAACCTTCTAAATCCAGAAGACAGTTGTGAGATCAAAGGAGCAGCAACAGAACCAGTAGCAAGAACATGGTACAGAATGGTGGATTTCCTACTTCATAAAACAAGTAAAGCTGAGTGACTCTGAGCACTTACTTTGGGCAGCTGGCTTGCTGAGCCATGCAAGTGAAGTGGAGTGCCATTTGGGCTGAAGCTAGTTGAAGTGAGGTGCCTTTGGGGACTTAATACAGGGAGCTGAGTTTGTTGACCCACAGAGCTTGAGCTGAAAGCCTTCAGGTTGAGTCTTACTGAGGCGTGATACGCACTTTGGACATCTACAAACAGACCTGAAAGAACTTTCTAAGAAACACGCCTGGTGAGCAACTCTATCCTGAGCAATAGACAGTAGCATTATAACCTGTTTCACTTCCTTAATAAACCCAGTAATCATTATTTTGTCTGTGAGTTCAGTATAGCCATTGCAAGGGATATTAAAACCTAGAGATCATAGAGAAAATACTAATGAACACAAAACAACTTTTTACCAGATCCTTAAATATTTTCTCCAAAGAAAAGGAAAAAAACATTAAAAATAGTTCATTTAGAGCTACATTAATATTATTCAGACACTTACATAAAAGCAGGTTTACATACCTTGTTGGAACTGTGATGGTGCTACAGGAACGTCTTGGTTTGGCTCAAAAGGAAGTTCAGGTGTTAGGTTTTCAAACTGCTCTTTACTAATGATATTTAGCTTCTTAAAGGTCTCAACTTCTTGCTGAAGCAGAATGGAGGAATCTAATTACTAAACTGGCTAATAGAGCAACCAACAGACAATACTTTGATACCAAACGAAAAAATGAGATTTTTAAACTGGGGTTAATTGCAATAATTGCTAATTAAGAATATAAACATTGTGATATAACAATACCTAAAGAGGCATAAAAAAACTTCACAGCTGTCCAGTCAGTTCTAACTCATAGGGGCTCTACAGTACAGAGTACAACTGCCTCAAAGGGTTTCCAAGGCTGAACTCTATGGAAGCAGATTGCCACATCTTTCTCCCACTCAGGAGGCACTGAATAGAATAATCATGGCCATCTAGTCAATGCTGACTCGCAGAGAACCCCCTGTGGGTTTCCAACACTGTAACTGCTTATGGGAGTAGAAAGTCCAGTCTTTCTCCCAGGAGTTGCTGGTGGTTCTGAACTGCTGACCATGTGATAGCAACTCAAGACATAATCATTACAATGCTGGGGCTCCTAAAAGGACGAGAGGAAGCTACTTTGCTCTCAGGCAGTGTGTTTTTCAAAGGAGATTGCAAATCCCATGGCCAGGTTGGGAGGAGCAGTCCTGCCCTTAGAGAACTTGCCTATGTGGTCCCTTAATGATTTACAGATGGAGTTTACCTACAAATTGGTCTTGAATCATATCCCAATCAAGTAAGTAGCCTTAAAAGCAGGCCTATAAACTTTTCTAATCTGCAACTGTGCATCCCAATCATTCTTTTGTGACAGCTGTACTTTGATTTGCAGCCAATGGTGATTTCCTTTTTTCTATCAACTGTAATTAACCACATTGCCCAAAACTTTAAAAACTCTTTACTGCCACTCAGACAATTCTGAATCAAAGTGACCTTACAGAACAGAGTAAACTGCACCTGTGGGTTTTCAAGACTAAGTCTTTATGAGAGTTGGAAGTGTTATCTTTCTACTGCCGAGCAGCTGATGATTTCAAACTGCTGTCTTTGTGGTTAGCAGTCCGCTGTGCCACCAGGGCTCCTAAACCTTCGGACACCATTATAGCCTCATACCAAGGTCTCATCTGGATGATTTGTCTTCGTCTTGCGTAAGACTTACTGTAATGAGTACGTGTCAATGTTTCTGAAGGCGAAGTGTGAGGGTTGTTATAAGACACAATCAACTTGATGGCAATGAACGTTTATATATAAAATGTTTGAATTTGAGTCACCCCCTTCCCCCATTAGAAGACAAGTTACATAGAAAGAAATGAGGATAAAAACTAGTAACATTAGGCAGTGTGTGCAGTGGTTAATTATTTGATATAAGAATTCAGATCTTCAAGGAGGAATCACTGAAGGCATGGGACAAAAGCAGCTCTTGAGGAATTTAGAGAAAAGGACAAACATTTTTTATTTTAGTGATGTAAACAAAGATAAGAAGCTTGAAATAAACCATGTGTTTACCTCAAAGTAACTAAGTGAAGGAGAGACTTTGTGTATAACCAGTGGCAAAGATCTATTCTGGGGAAAACTATAAAATGGCCTTCAATATTAAACCAAGAATTTTTAGTTTTGTGCTCTGAGAATGGGATTCAACTGATAAAAGACCCGGGAGGCTAGCAGCAGGGAGGTTCAGTAGGTCTGCACCATCCACTCCATTTAAGAATCAAGTCATTCCTGCCCCTGAGGGGCTTTCTAATCTAAATAGACATTTAGATAAGCTCTGCCCTAATCTATGAACACATAGAGCATTACTCTCTCCTAGAAAGTTAATGGCTATGGTGCATGAAGATTCATCTACAGCTGGACAAGATTATGGGATTTTTCTAAATGTTCATGGGATTTACCTTACATTTCCCCCAATTAACTATCATATAAACACAACATGGTGTTTGAGTCCATGGTCCTTGGAAAGAGCACCCAAAGAATGTGGAAGCAGGTTTAAAAAAGAGAGAGAGAAATAGTGTATTTGTCAGTGGGAACCAAATTAACTCTACTATTACAAAATATCTGTACCTTGCTCTCAATAGCTCCCCAACCCTAAGAAACTATGAATCTAGTCAGGGTTTATCTGGATTTACCTATTCTAGATTTGATACAACCCTCCACACACACCCTTCCTCAGCAGTAACAAACTGAATCACAGAAAAACCTCCATCAAAAAGAAAGCACAAAACTAGAACAAATGAAAAGTGGGTCAAAAGGAAAACACGGATGTTAAAATTTGACCTAACTATATATCTGCATTAATTCACATTTTGATGTACTCTGAAACCAAGGCTATTCACATTCCTGGCCAGAGAGAAGTCAATGGTGGCTTAATCCCCAGAGGGACTCTGCAAATTGGTTAAGGGCTTTCACTGTCAAATGAGGTGCTCAGAACTTAAGCTCTAATATAATTTTCCCGTCTGGTCTTGGATTTTATTTACAATCCTTATATCATACAGGCTGGTGTGCTTGTTTTAAGACAAGCTTTTCAGACAAGAGGCCCTGTGCTTTGTGAGAGCAGGGCAACATTTGATTTCTTCACACTTTTCTATAATACTGTATCTTCAGTGAACCCCTTCATGAGGTTATTGAGCGGGGCTGCTTCATAAGAACTTAGATTAGGATTAGGATCGAAATCCATTCATATATCTGAGGTTACATATATTCTATTCCACTTTAATAGCATTATCAACTTTTTGAGATCAATATACATTTATTACATGTTACCACATATCAGAAATGGTTATACCCTTAAGACAACACTAATAGTACACTTTTTTCCTAATTATTGAAATTTATTCATTGAAATATATCCAAAAGAATCTCACAAACCAAAAATATCTATTTCAAGAGCAATCAAAACAGAACATACCTGAGCAGTTTCCACTCAGGTACAAAATATGACTAGCACCCCCAGACCACCTACCTTCTCATGCCCTTCACTCCCATTACCGTCTCACCTCTTTCCCCCAAAAGACTAACCACCATACTGGCTTCAACACCATAGATCATTTTTTACTATTTTTACCTTTGTAAAAATGGAATCATAATATATGGATGGTGGCTTCTTTTCTGCACAATTAAATTTGTGAAATACAATCATTTTGTTGTAACTAGTTTATGGCTCTATAGAGTGATCAGCAAACTACAGCCCCCTAAAACCAAGGCCTAAGCCTGTTTTTTGTAAATAGTTTACTGAAACAGCCACATTCGCTTATTTACATATTGCCTATAGCTGTCAATGCATAACACAAAAAATATAAAATGTGTACTACTAAATCCTTTACTGGAGACAAAGATTTACAGCCTTGAAAACAAGTAAGAATAAATTTGATGGCAGTCAGTGAGTTGGGTTTTTAGTTCATTACAAAGGAGACATGCTGTACTGTAGCTAAGAGTTCAGCTGCTAACTGAAAGATTTGGTGGTTCAAACTCAAAAGCTGCTCTTCAAGGAAAAGGTGTAACAGTATAAAGATTATAGCCACAAAATAACAGGACAGTTTTACTCAATCCTGTGGGGCCAGAACATGGGTATAGATAGCCCTTTACCAAAAAAGGTTTGCCCACCTCTGCTTTATAATAATCATTTGTATGAATTATCTAAAAACTTAAATTCTGAGCACTTGGTTTGTAGAAGGTTATGGTTTAAAGAGGGAGCCATAAATCCATTTAACTTCCAGTGGGTTCTTTCAGACCTTCGTAAAAAGCCTTTGCCCTTAAGGAGATTGTGTTGTAAGTGGATTGGTGCAACTCTCCTGAACAGGCCACACAAATGAAGAGGCAGTTTTTTTCAGGGACTTGCTTCGGTGTGCCAATGTGAAGAACTGGGGTACCGGGATCGCATGGCACGGAGTTATACCCTGACCTTAAATTGCACCTATCTTAATTGTACATTTCAATAATGTAACCCTTTATTCTCAAAAGGCTGATTGTCTCTGCTTTCAATATATCCTGGCCTCCACTGCTTTAGTTGGAGTCTTTACCAATTCTTCAAAGGTACTACGTCCTTTTTCTCTGGCTTTTGTTCTTTTTGGCAGGTTTATCTGTGATGGTTCTTCTATTTCTTTCTTTAAATTATCTCCTTTGTAGCTCCTACAGCTTCTTGGATTTGTCACTTGTAGTTTTTCATGTTTTGGTAAATTCTCAGCCATAATCTGTTCAAATATTAATAGTCTTACTCTTTCTCCTGTTTATTAGACATGTTGACTGTATTTCCTATGCTCCTTACAATATTGTATTTTATGTATTTTTCCATTTTTCGGTAGGTGGTGATACACTCTCAAATTTTCTTTAGCACAATCTTGCAGGTTCAGTAATTATTCAGTTAGGCAAACTGCTATTCAGCCCATCCACTGTACTATCTTATCAAATTTTTCAGTTCTAGAATTTCTGTTTCTTTTGAGTTTCTGGTTCTTGACTGAAAGTCTTCATTTTATGTTTTCGTACTTTAACATATAATTATTTCAATGTATGTTTGATAATTTTATTATCGGACTCTCTATTGGTCCATTTCTACTTTTTTCCCTTGGGTTTCTTCTCTCCATTAGCTCCACCCACCACCACTCCCATCACAGAATCTCATCTTGTTTTATGCCTCATTAATAACTCAACATTTTTATTAAAAAATGTGGGGTCTCAGATGACATTTTCCACCAGAAAACATTTATCTTTGCATCAGGCATGTTCACTCGATCAGGAATTAAACTACTAAAAGCTTGGCAAGCATACCTAAGGTGGCGTTAGTTCTAGGATAGAGATCTTCAGCGTTTGGCACAAACGTCTGCAAGTTTCACTGAAGTTCACCATTTGAGGCCTGAACTCCAATTTCCACCACCTCCAAACCTGTTAACTTTTATTGAATTATGCTTCTCAGCTACTTCTGTCTGTAACTCATATCTCTAGACGCCCAAATGCCAGCTTTATTCTCGATGTTCCCATGTTCTTCCAGATGTTGACCACAAAACTCTTTATCGTCTACTAGCTATAACGGGTTTTAACACAGAAGTTTTCTTCCCTATTTTTCTAGTTGTTCACAGCAGTTTTTACCA